TTCTCAGTGTTTGAGCTGGTGAAAGGTCAGCAGAGCCAGGTGGATGGCCAATCCTGAAATGCCTCCTAACATAATTGATACAGAGTGTGAGTCAAGCCGCTGCCGTCTTTTGCCGCCTCAGCCTGCCAGGATTGAGTTGTGTGGGCCGCCTCTTACTTGGTGTGTGCCCTGCCCAGCTCCCGGCAAATGCTGATGAACTTGTTTTATTCTGAGTCCTGAACTAAATGAACTCAGTGAACGTAACCATACAAAGACAAACAGAAAACGCTCTTCTCACAAAGACCGGCAGAGACAGAAAACTGGCCTTCTGGTTCTACCTGTTGTCCTTCACTAGTGGCAGTAATACATTTTCATTTTTTTTTCCTGAAACGCTGGTGACTAAATAAACTTCAAAGCAGAGAATTTATATTTGTGAAATTATATGCAAACACATGTCCTGACAGATGCACCCCAGCCCTGGAGGTCTGCTTTAGTCTATTTTTAATCAGCACTGTAATTTTGCAGTAATACTTGTTTATGTCATTCCACTAATTATTCAATAGAACACGTTAACAATGTGTAGTTAATCTTAACATTAGCAGAAATAAACAATTAATCCCCTTGTATCATGCACAAGAAGATGAACACCTAAAGCTCAAATACTCCTTGTTTGCTTAACTCTAAGTGAAAACCAATTGTTAACATAACAGAGTCCTCAATGTGGGCTAAAAAGGTACATATGGTGACAGGCATGTATCTTGGCAGTGTCATGTGGGTAACTTCAGGAACCCAACTGCCCAGTTGTCAGCCACAAGTTTTCAATACACGCTACACCATTTTTTATGCTTTATAAGCAGCAGGTAGTGAACTGTAGAGTATTAGTTTATATATTATTACCAGTTAAGGGTTTTCTGTTCATCTATAGATTACTGTTTGTATCAACTTTGTAGTTTGTAGTATCAGTGCATCCTTCTGAATTAATTTGATTAATTGACCAAAATGTTGCCGGTTCAGATCCCAGAAGGGCCTCCACTGTTGAGCCTTTGAGCAAGGTGCTTAACTTTTAATTGCTTCAGTGAAAAATCCATTCGTATAAACCAATAAAATTGTAATGATCCTGAGTTGTTTTTGATGAGGGTGAAAATAATTAAATAATGTAATTAATTCTTTTGTTTTCCACATCATGCAGTGCTCAAGAACATTAGGTAGGTGTTTGCCTACATGCAGTACTCATTTTAAACTCTGGTATTGCACAAACCTCAGACATTGTGTTAAATCCTGTATTATTGTGTATCTCTGTATTTTGTTTGTCTGGCCCCATCCCTCAGCTTAGGGGGCACACACTGTATCTACGCCCACAGGATGTCTGTGCTGACTGGTTTGTTGTCTCCTGCTGTCAAAAATAATCTGAAATCCCCAGGCAATAACCATCAGAATGTACTGTAGCTTAAGCATGTATCTAGTATTAAGTTCTGAATATTACTGTATGACATCTGAATCTTTTTATTTCTGCCAAAAGATTTAAAGAATAAAAATGATTGGGCCAGAATGAGAATACAAAACACCTGTTTTGCAAACTGAAACGTGAGGCCTGTTGACTTGATATGTGTATCACTGTTTTTCACTTTAGAAAGGCAAGCTGCTGGGCCCACATGCTTGTGGTTCCAGTACGATGCTTCCAGGTGTTTAATGGGTATCATCCCTCTTTACCACTAGACTAACTGTTCCTCTGGAACAAATGTGTACCAGAGATAATTTGCACTTCTGTGAGAATAGTATTCGGTAGAATGGGCCAGTGGGGTATTTTTCTGTGAAGGTTGGGGCTATGGATTATTGGAAACAAATTGCATTTTTTTCATGTTTTGGGAAAAATGTCAGGTCAGTGACAAGAAAGTGGGAGGTGGAATCTGCCTGACATTGTATCTTGCCAAGTTGACAGCTCTCAATTCTAACTGTAATGTAGGGCTGCTCGTTTGTGCTCTTTTGACCTCTGAGGGCTGCCTCTATAAACCTTATCCTCTTTTAACACCTCGGCATGTCCCACAGCATTTTGCGGATCCAGTGTAAAAAAAAAGGAACACTGAGCAAGATCATTTGCCGAGGTCCATGACAAGCCACTGTGTTCTGTCACTGAGGCCTAGAGGTTCTGGGTGGGAAGTTACCAAATGACACTGCTGGCTGCTGATTGTCCCCCTCTGCTTTCTTCATGTATGCTTGGATGCCTTGAACTCCACGTAGATCAACCATTGGCAGTTGCACCTTTACCATTGTTCTTTTGACAAACAGTTATTGTTCTGCCAGCTGTGCACTTTTTTTGCACGTAGCGCTTGTATACACTAGTATGTGGCAGTCTGTTTTTATTTATAATTTTTTTTAACTCACTAAATTTTTCAAGTCACTGGTTTCGAGGAAACACATGCTCTCTATTACCTCAGTAATGAGTGCTGCTCAGAGCTGTTGATACTGTAGTGCCAGAAGTGGTGCAGGAAGATGAAGACGACATCAAAGGCTGTAAACGTGTCACAACTACTTCTGGCAACTAGAATCAAATGCCAGTATGGGTCCTGATCTGACTGGCCGCTGGCCTTCTCTCTCGTCTTGATGTTTGCCAATTTTCTCCAAGGAGTCACTGTATGTCTTTGTACTTTTTCCATTTGCTCTCAACCAGTTGGCACTGCTTGCTTTGTTTGAGTCATAGGTCTGGATACTTTGGGTTGTTATGCAGGGATTAGTGTGTGTGTTCTCATGATACTTTGGGGTGACATGGGTGCAAGCTCTGATCGGGCTGGTAGCACCAAACACCCAGCAGTCAACTTGGGCTTGGATAACCTTATTTGATAAACTTTACATTTTTACTTTGCTGCATTGTTTTAATTATTGGAGATCTGGGCATTGATTTCAGCTCTGGAAGCTATTCCTGTACATTTGTTTATGGTTTTTTTTCCCCTCACTGTCAGCTGGTAATGTGTACCTGCCAAGTGTGCAGCATGATGTCACTGCTTTGTTTGTACTCTTTGCCTTAGCTTTGTGCTTCAGCCTTCTATTTGACCCCCAACCCTTACATATGTATCTGAATGTTTGAGTTCTCTGTAGCCCTTGGGTTAAAGAGCTGCAGCTTCCTGTAGTTGGATTGTCTCCGGGAATTGTGTAGTTGAATGAACAGAATGGCGTGGCATTGGGATTCTTGTCACATAAGATGTTACTTTTCAAATTGTACCCATGAAACCATTGTGCGCAAGTAATTGATAATGACAATTTATAAAATATAAAAATAACATTGTCTTGATAGATCCTGTTATGCAAAAAAAAAAGTTTGTGCTCCAAAAACCAGTGAGAGGCCCCAGCTGAGGCTGGGACAGTTAACTGGCAGTGTGTGGCTGGTGTTGTGATTAAATGGAGAAAATATGAGACGCGCTTTGTGGAAGAAGGAATGTGGCTAACTGACAGAGATTAAGCCTTATGTGCTTTGGGTGGGGGGGGGGCAGGTCTTAATGGGACTGAAGTGGTTAACTGAAAACATCGGGCTTCTTGGCTTCATTTCAGGAAGTGGTGTGAAACTTCTAGCAGCTGAAGGTGTGTGTATGTTTGTGTGTGTATGTGTGGGAAGAATGTAGGCTATACTTTGTTACATTAATGTAAAATACAAGTGGATAGCTAATATTCAGTCTCTAAATTTCTTCTGAAAACTGGCACCTCCACTTACAGACAGCTATAAATGTGTTTTTGTGTCTCTTCTGGTCAGTTTATTTTATGTTTGCCTGATTGCGTTGGTGCATGCACAGTTCTCGCACAGGCCTCGTGTGCTACATAATCTTGTGGATGGCCCAAAGCCATCCTTTCTGAGTAAGAGAATAAACAGACCTAAAAATGAGATGTGCCCAACATCAAAGGCCCCCTTTCAAAGCCCTCACTGAATATTGCTTTAACTTTCCCCTTCTGCATGTTATGTAACTTCATTCAACTAGTTATCGCGCTGCAGATGTGTTGCCAAGGGAACACTGCTCACCTTGCGGCATGATGATTTATTTAGAAATATATTGCAGTGATGGATGCATTTTGCAAATGTTTTGTTGTTTGGACAGTGCAAGAGATGAGCAAATATCAGAACACCCTCCCCCCCCTCCAAGTTGGCATCTTCCATCGCCACAGTAGCTTCCATGTTGGAGGAAGGGACTGTCTCCCTACTGTTGCCCAGGCCCAGTTTCACACACTTCCACCTGCCTTGTGCTCATTCATTTGTGCAGGGTGTATAAGTCAGGTTTTCTTTGTTAATTCTTTCCATCTGAAGTCTTTATCATGGGTGCTTGTCGATTGAATTCAGATCATTGTTTGATGCTCCTTGATGCTTTTGTGGTAATTTTGTTCTTGAAAGTAGAGGAAAGAACACATTTCTTCATCTTTGCACCCTTAATAATTGACACAAATTTTAATTACAGTCATGTTTAAAGCACTTGAATTATTTAATAGTTCATCCCCCTAACAGTTAACTGAATGATTGATTTATCCATTAATTTAATCTTGTTAATTTCTGAGCTGTGTGAATTTTGCTGAAATCAAAAAAAGAAACAAGTTCAGTAGTAATCGATTTACTTAGAAAGATGGTCCTTATTAGTGATGTTCATCGTTTAGGTCCAGTTCCAGCACTTCTGCAGATTTCTTCAGGGTAGGGGAGCTAAGGTTAATGTTTCATAGCAAAAAGGTCTTCATTACCCTGGTTCAGTTAAGAGCTTCGGTATAACAGCAGGGAGCCTGGTGGTTCCCGTGGTTTGAGTAGCTACTCACACCCCCTTTGCGGGTGCTGAGCTAGGTGCCTCCAAGGCATTGAGCTCCAGGTGGTCTCACTGTGTGCCCTTATGCGGCTGGAGAAGGAGCAGGCTCACGTGCAAAAGATTGTTCACAAAAAACTTTTCATGGCGACCTGAGTGAAATTGAAAATGTCAACATGATTGTGCTGGCCGTGACAGAAGTCACACATCTTACCACTGGCCCTGTATCTCCCTCCCCATCTCCTTGTATTGCAGCAGCGACCTCCCAACCGGCCCAAGCCCAAAGCGGGAGCGCCATCGACACCGACCGGTGCTAAGCTGTCGGGGGGGCGTGGCACGTCAGGCGCTCGGCGCCGGCGGACCCGCTGCCGCAAGTGCGAGGCCTGCCTGCGCACCGAGTGTGGGGAGTGCCACTTCTGCAAGGACATGAAGAAGTTTGGTGGGCCGGGCCGCATGAAGCAGTCCTGCATCATGAGGCAGTGCATCGCGGTGAGTCCCATGTCCGCGCCAAAGAGCGGGCCGAGTGCGCGGGACGTCCGTAGGATGCTCAGCGTGTCCGGTCCCCTCCCGCAGCCCGTCCTGCCCCACACCGCCGTGTGCTTAGTCTGCGGGGAAGCCGGCAAGGAGGACACAGTCGAGGGGGAGGAAGAGAAGTTCAATGTCATGCTCATGGAGTGCTCCATCTGCAACGAGATTGTGCACCCTGGCTGCCTGAAGGTAAGCTTGAACTTCAACGACTCCTTGATTCTCACAATCACATATAAATTCTTTGGCTTGTTTACAGCAGTATTAGCCACAAGTTTCTGGTCTCATGGTGCCTTAGAGCTTGAGCAGATAAGAAGATACAACAGAAGAAAATTAGGTAGTGTGGTGACAGTTCATCTTATTGTGTTTTTCATGTAACAAAACTGCAGACTGTTTTTGTGGCTGTTTGTTCTAATGACCCCCTGCTAGTAATATATGGATTAGTTAGGTCAGTAGCAGATTTAAGAAGGTCTACTATCTGTTTGGGCAGATGCAGACATTTGTATCTGGATCTGTCATATTCAATGTTCCATTCCACAGAGGACCTTGTTGCACATGAGGCTTCAAGAATAGCACAATATGACCAAATAGGCAAAAACCTAAAAGGAGAACCTGAGCTAACGGTCTTTATCCAAAAGTGGAACTGCACTGTCTATTTTCAGTTTAACTGATCAAGCCTCATGTGGCAGTAGCCATCTTTCTGGGGGTGGGGATGGCTGTCATTTTGTAATTTTATAATGTGCTTGAGCTTGCAGAATGGACATTATGAAGCTTGTGGTTCAGTCTTCCTTTTATGCAGAAGTCTTAGTTTGTGTTATTGGAAAGGAGAATTGAAGATTAGCACAAGTTCCCCTAGAACTCTGTAGGCCTGGTAGATGCCTAAAAAATGTACACTCGCCAAGTAATGTCAGTAACGAGCTGTGCTTAGTTTAGCGTGAAAGAAGCATGGTGAAATGAATGTGTGGCTAGAAGAATGAACAGTCGTGATAACATTGCTGGTTTAAAATAATACTGGAGAACCATTTTGCAATGCCCCCGTCAATCAGCAACTTTAGTCTCTACTTCTGTCTCACTCTCTCTTGCTCTATCATAGGTAAAAGATGCTGGTGGTGTAGTGAATGAGGAGCTGCCTAACTGCTGGGAATGTCCGAAGTGCAATCATGCGGGGAAGACTGGGAAAGTAAGCATCTACACACGCATAGAGGGACTGCACTCCCGAGCTCTCCGGCTCATTGGTTCAGTTGAGGTTTGGGCTTGGAGGATGCAGGGATACTAACAGTATAAGGGCATACTGAGCTTGGAGTTTATCTCAAGAAACAGGCCGCTTAGATGGCATGTTTTTGGACAGCAGGAGGGACCCAGAGGGAAGCCACACAAACAGGGAGAATGTACAAGCACACAGAGCCAGGTCTATAATCAAGCCATAAGGGTGTGAAGCTTCCTGCTGAACCTTTGGGTCAATTATACTTTATATATTGGCTGTTATCGGCAGCTCTACATTCTACGGGTTTGTCAGTCTCTGGTTGCTGGTGTATCAACAAAATGTGGATATCCAATATGGCCCAATCCTTTGATTGGCCGGTTTAGTTCATGCATGTCTGAAACTCATGTTTAACATTCAGCCTCCCATCCCAGGAAGAATTCAGCCTTCTGCTAATTTAGTAGTGAAGCTGTAAATATTTAGTTGAAGTCAGTGTTACAAATAGTAAGGACAAAATTGGAGCTGTGTCTGATAGCTGTCTTCTGGATGTTAACCAAACCAGTTGACGGGACCTATCAGATGCTCAGATAAAGTAGTGAATCTTACCTCTCATGTCTCTTTCTTTGTCCCCACAGTCTATGTTCAGCATGGAATCGGTGGTCTTTGTAACATAATAGTATTGCACTTTGCCAGTGAGAATTTCAACATAAATTACATCCATTTTGTTTATCCCTTTCATATTAAAATTTTACGAATGTTTTTCAGTTAATAGCTACATTACCTTAAGGCAACATCTGTATGTACAAGTCTGTAGTATTTCCATTAGGCATAAGGTATAAAGTGGTCCCGTCCTTCCTTCCTACCTTTTGGCCTACAAGCAAAAAAGAGGACCAGGGTTCAAGTATGCGTCAAACCTGCCCGGCTCCCTGCTGAAGGAGCAGCGGGTCAACCGTGAGATCAAGGAGGAGCCGGACCCGGTCAGTGGCACCAAGAGGAAGGCAGACCGTGAGGAGACCCCCAAGCAAAAGCTGGAGGAGCCGCCCAGAAAGCGGCCCCCCATCATACCTGTCCAGCCCGTCCAGCCTGTGCCCCCCACTGACAGCCAGCAGGCACGGCCCAAAACTGAGGACAGTCCCCTGCGGAGGAAGAGGAAGATGTCTGAGAAAGAGCCGGAGTCCAGTGCCAGGAAACTGGTACGGGTGTGACTGCCTGTTATCTGCAGCACAGCACATTCAGTCTCTCTTTTTTTCCTGCTGTCACAATGATGGGAAAGGTCTGACCTCCATTTATACATAGAGCAAAATATTCCACCTCTGTCTTCTGCTCTTTATGGATTGAGGTAGCATACACTAAACTAGTGAAACAGTTTCATGGCTATTTGTTTATTTCACTTTAACTTATCATTAACAGAAGGGTCCTTTTGAGCATTTTAATCAGATCTAAAAATATACTGGAGATACTTTCTTTTTTGTTTCCTGTGACCAGTGGTGACCTTAACAGTCATTGTCACAAGGCAAAAGTTTCACTTTTTTTTCCTAATAAACTAAATAATAGCTAACAGTAATCACTAGTTGAAGTTATATCTCCCCAATGGTTTAAGTTCTGTTTTTAAAAACAGTATATCGATATCTGTCATGATTCAGTTCTCTCCTCATTGCAGAAATCCTCCAGGTCTGATGACCCCACGATCCCCCAACTCATGAAGGAGATCAAGACAGAGAGGGAGGAAGGGTCTCAGCAGAAAGAGGAAGGAGAGCAGGAGCAGGGGGATAGAGAGATGGAAGAAAAGAAGGCAGAAGAACATGAAGATGATGAGGAAGACGAGGAGGATGAAGAGGAGGAAGAAGGGGCAGCTGGGGAGGAAGCAGGGGAAGCATCTCTTGGGGTTGCCCAAGGACACACGGGTAATGGCTCGTTAAACCTTACCCAAGTTGCCCCTGCGGTCCGGGAAAGTGACCGGTCACGCTCCAGCTCCCCACGGGCGGGGCCCAGCGGCGAAGGCGCTGAGGAGCCCCAGGACAAGGGCCAGCCACGGCCACGTCGCAAGCGTCAGCTGCCCAACAAGGAGCTGAGCAAAGAGTTGAGCAAGGAGCTCAACCAGGAGATCCAGAAGACCGAGGACTGCCTGGCCAATGAGACGCGCCGGCCGCTGCAGCCGGAGCGAGAGAGCGAGGGCGAGGAGCCCAAGCGAGCACTCAATAATGGCAGCCAGCTGGCTGACGAGCGGCTTCGCCCCAAGACCCGTGAGGTCAACGGCGCCCCCCGGGAGCTGCGGCCTCACCACTATCCCCCACAGCAGCTCTCCCCACTGGGTTGGAGCCGGAGCCCGCCCAGTGTACCTGGTGGGGGCCGGCCCCCTCCCTGTCGCTCCCCACCCAGGTGCGTGCAGATGGAGCGACACGTCATCCGCCCCCCGCCCATCAGCCCCCCACCTGACTGCCTGCCCCTGGACGGCGGGCAGACACACGTGATGCGCAGGGAGGTGTGGATGTCTGTCTTCAGGCACCTGTCGCACAAGGAGCTGTGCGTGTGCATGCGTGTTTGCAAGACCTGGAATAGGTGGTGAGTCCTCCTCGCTGTAAGAAGCAGGCCCAGAACCCTAGGCAACCAATAGCTTAAAGAACTGTGCATAACTGACCAGTTAGATGTCAGGAAGATTTTCTAATTCTCACTCTGATTATGAAAACAGAACTACCAGTTCTGATTTATGATCATCCATCAGGGGGTCTTATATTTTTGACAGCATCTCCTGCAGCTCATTCATCTGCTTCTTTCACTAATTACTACATTGTGCAAATGGAGAAATATCTGGCACATGGTTTAATAGCCAAATCAAATCAGCAATCTAGCACAGTTAAGTGTTAATATTAGTGCATTTTATATATCAGTAGATAGCAGCTTAATGAAGCTAGCTGTTTAATGTTACACTGAAAAACTTTTCAATTTTACAAAAAATTAACCAATTACTAACATCAACATATGTAAATACCTGGCCTGGACACTTTGTGTAATGTCAGCATGTGTTTGCTATCAGTTATTTAATATAAATGAACTTGATTCGTGCATATAGTCATATTGGTTTTAGTAATCTGTTGCCTGTACATTCCACACATGACCAACCCAGATCAGGTAAAAACTTCACGTGATACAGGGACAACCCAGCCGTCGAACTCGTGACACAGGTGTCACTCACTGGGAATCATGCCCTGTCCTGGTCCTGCCAGGTGCTGTGACAAGCGGCTGTGGACCAGCATAGACCTGAACCGCTGCAAGTCCATCACGCCCCTCATGTTGAGCGGAATCATCCGACGGCAGCCTGTCTCGCTGGACCTGAGCTGGACCAACATCTCCAAGAAGCAGCTGAGCTGGCTCATCAACAGGCTGCCTGGTGGGTGTGGGCTGCACTGGGCTGGGCTGGGCTGGGCTAGCCTCCATTCATACTGCTCCTGTGAGCTTGAACATGGCTTCGTCCCGAAGCCAACATGCTTGGTTGTTCCCTGCCGTCTCCTCCAGCTTGGTGTTGGTGTTTGTCCCTGTGGTCATGGTGAACTAAATGACTTTAGGGCAGCCGATTTTCTCCTGACGCATCAAGCCGGCGGGATAATTCCAAGTGGTTATAAAGTCTATTGTGCATTTTGGGGATTAGGGAAGGGGTGGGGTACTCTCCGAGGTATGGCACTTGTCTTTGCTGCCCCGGGACAGAAGTGTGGAGAGCTTTCATCTCCTGCAACACAGAGTGCTCCGAGACAGTCACAGCCGTGCTTTCACAGTCTCCTTCATCTGTGGTTTTTGTTAGAGGCATTCCTCAGTGATTATTATTCTTTTTAGCTCTTTATTTGTTAATTTATTTATGCTTGTTGTTGTACAGTGACCCTAATGAGGTTTGCAGATGTGCTGTTGATTTTATTGTGTTCCTCAAGGTCACTTAACCGTCTGGTTTAATAAGAGCTCAACGTGGAAGAGCTGATAAGGCGTGTAATTCCCTGAGGTTCACGGCATTCTGCATCGCCTCATTACCAATATCTTCCAGAACTTATTGCTGCAGTCACGCCTGCTTCTTGCTCACCTGCTCGGAGGCTTGCTGACAGTGAGGTGTCACATCCTGAGGATGTGATCTGGACGTGGCCTTCGGTAGAAGTAAAACCAGTTTTTACGAATGTCTCACGTATACGTCATTTACGAATTTACATTCACAAAGGTCATTTTTCTAAAATGACTGAACACAGTAAATATAACTAGAAATCTCATCACATGATACTTAATACAATCAGTATTTGGACCTGCAGCAAATGACAAAGAACAAAAACAATAAAATCAGAAAAATACCTGATTCTTAGTGCTCTAAACCTACATTCTATTGACTCCAGTGTTCATGGGGGATTAACTCTAGGCTGACATCAGCATGAATACTCAAGTGTTGCCGATGGTGATCCTGTTTTATGGTGCACATATATATGACATTGTCAGATGGTGCACATACACTATATCAACAAAAGTATTGGGACACTTGGCCATTACACCTGCAGGAACTTTTATGACATCCCATTCTAAATCCATAGGCACGGTATAGAGTTGGTCCCCCCTTTGCAGCTATAACAGCTGCAACTCTCCTGGGAAGGCTTTCCACAAGATTATGGAGTGTGTCTGTGGGAATTTTTGCCCATTTATCCAGAAGAGTACTTGTGAGGTCAGGCACTGATGTTGGATGTGAAGTCCTGGCTTGCAATCTTCGTTCTATTTCATCCCAAAGGTGTTCAATGGGGTTGAGGTCAGGGCTCTGTGCGGCCAGTCAAGTTCTTCCACACCAAACACATCCAACCATGTCATTGTGGATCTTGCTTAGTGCTCTGGGGCACAGTCATGCTGAAATAGAAAAAGAACTTCTCGAAAGTTGAAAGCATAGAGTTGTCCAAAATAACTTGAATTGGAACTAAGGGCCCTAGCCCAACTCCTGAAAAACAATCTCGTACCATTATCTGTTCTCTACCAAATTTTACAGTTGGCACAATGCAGTCGGGCAGGTAACATTCTCCTGGCATCTGTCAAACCCAGACTCATCCATCCGATTTGTCACTCCACGGAACACGTTTCCACTGCTCCCCAATGCAGTGGCGTCGTGCTTTACACCACTCCATCCGACGCTTGGCATTGTGGTTGGTGATGGCTTGCATGCAGCTGCTTGGCCATGGAAGCCCATTCCATGAAGCTCCCAGCACACAGTTTTTTTCCTGGGGTTAATGCCAGAGGAAGTTTAGAACTTTGTAGTTATTCAGTCAACAGAGCATTAGCAACTTTTACGCTCTATGCGCCTCAGCCCTGCTGTTACTTTCCATGGTCTGCCCTTCCGTGGCTGAGTTTCTGTTGTTCCTAAACACTTCCACTTTGCAATAATACTCCTTATAGCTGACCATGGAATATCTAGCATGGAAGAAGTTTCACGACCTGACTTATTGCAGAAGTGGCATCCTATGACAGCACCACACTTGAATTAACTGAGCTCTTCAGCAGGGTTCCAGACTGCGACCTTTTATTGAAAGTGAGCGATTTAAAATTTCACTTGGTAGCATCTGTGCCAGTGTATGATAACACTGGTATACAGTGATTTTGGTGCCAATGATGTCTTAACGGTTTTATATTAAGTTTATGGTGCTGATTAAGAATATGACTTCGGTTTTGCCAGATTGGCTCTAGTTTCTGAGATATGTAATAGTTAGTTAGTTAATTAATTAATTAATGCTTCATGTTTGAAAAGCATTCAGAATTGCAAAAATATTTTTATTTTACTTACAACTAGTAAGTAAACAGTCTAACATCATACAAAAAATAAAATTAAAAATATCTAACAGTGACAGGAAAAAGTTATGTATGATTTGATTAATTAATACAATATTAGTTATTCATTGTTATTAATGTCAGTGCTTCAAAAAAACGCTGTTTATGTGATTTCCTTTTATGTGTGTCATCAGGACAATCACGTTGGAGACTCCAACAGTAGTCTGCCATCATGTGTATGTCCATCTGCCTTGATATCTCTCCTCCATCACCTTTATATCCTGGTGGAACCTCTCACCTTGTTCCTCGCTGAAGTCTCCAAGGTTATCTGGAAATCTGTTTAAATGGCTATGGAGATGTGCATCTTTATGCTCATATTAACTCCCAAATTTCTGACGTTAGCAAGCATATCTTGCACCAATTCTTCATAATTGTCTGCTCTGTGATTCCCCAAGTAGTTCTTCACAACAGAGACAAATCTCTTCCAGGCTAAAGCCTCAGTGTCATTCATGCATTTGGTAAAATTGGATTGTTGATGCGGGCTCTTTTTGATGAAGTCATAATTTTTACATGTATTTATATGCTTTGATATAACTTTTTGTATGTAGGAGATTATTTTAAAAAACAAAACAAGAAGACAGAGGAGGCTGGTGTAGAGGGAGAGCCAAAGAGACAAACACAAGTGATGATGAGAGTTAGGTTATTAAAGCTAATGTTCAGATTTGAATATTTTGCAAGAACTGTAATTTCTGACCTTCAGATTGGCGCATGTGACGTTCCGTTTTGGTCATTTGCGGGTTTGCCATGAATAGTTACATGGGAGTATTTTTGGAGCTTGCTGAAGGAAAACTCACATGACATGTAAGCCAAAAACAATACTGAAAATGATTTGGGTTGCATAAAATCATATAGTATATAAATATTAGTAATACATCATATTTGTTTGTGTAAGTGCATACTAAAAGTCTTGGCTTGAGTACACCATGCATATTTGTCTCGGTAACTTGCCTCACTCACGTAACTGTTTGAGTGACCGTGGAATCTCGTGTTTCCCTCAGTAACTTTTAAACTTTTCATTGATGTTAATTTTGCATTTTTAATAATGATTCCAAAACATAGTGCTCCCAGTGCATACAGCAGTAACTTTGTACATACAGGGGCATAATTTAGATGATTTGTATATTACTTAAAAATGTCTTGATAGAAAATTACAAAGTAATTTGACATGCAAAATGTGCTGTTTGTGTAGACGCTGGTAATAAATAGACTTATATGTTATTGTTCAGGCTAGCAGACTGTTATGGGTAGCAGTTAAGGGTGCCTGTATTTATAATAAAAGTATTATTTGCAAATTGTCACATTGGTGGGGATCTGCCACCCCCCAACCCCTCACTAATGTGAAGGGGTTTCTGTATCAAGTCTTGAGTCACTGTCAGTCTTTCATCAATACAAAAACCAGGGTATGCAAATTAGGACAACTATCAGCATGCAAGGTCATTGATTAATACCATGCTGCACCTAAAAGTAGGGTGCGACCAAATCATGTCCTGGTGTGACCAACTGGGAAAGCTGGCAGCAGTAGTGCTACCACTGGCCAAGTTAGTTTGGAGCCCAGCTCTTCAGAATGACCCAGTCTTTCACCAATGTTTGTAAACCTGACTGCATAGCTAGATGCTTGATTTTATACACCTGTAGCAATGGGTCTGAATGAAACACCTGAATTGAATGTTTAATTAAGAGGTGTGTCTAAATACTTCTGTCCATATAGTGTGCATACGACATTGTCAGGACAGAAGAATGAGCAGAATGTTGTTTCTGGTTACTGCTGTTATTTGGTGTGTGATGGTTTACGCTGTTCCTCCAAGGCCTCCGGATCCTGCTGCTGTCGGGATGCTCCTGGGTGGCCGTCTCGGCTCTCTGCACCTCCAGCTGCCCCCTGTTGCGTACCCTGGATGTGCAGTGGGTGGAGGGGCTAAAAGACCCTCAGATGAGGGACCTCTTGTCACCACCTACTGACAACAGACCAGGTACACTAAAAGCGCTATCCCACTCCCTCTAGTTTTCCTAAGAGCAGCTTTGGTGTAACAATCTGACTGATGAAGTTTTGCAGTACAGTGACCTCTTGTGGCACCTAGATGAAGCATTACAAACATTTTAATAATATCATGATATTTATGATATAATGTGAAAGTCAAACCCCCCATAAAATACAAACCCTTGAAATACATCGTTAATCACCAGAATAGTCATTGCTGTAAAAATTTTGAAGTCAGATATAACTCTGACATAAAAGGACAGGTATATAAAAGGTCAGATATAAAGGACAATAAATGATATTTCTGTGTCATAGATCATTTGGTTAATTATTCTTCAGGAAGTAGATAAAAAGTATCAAATTAATTATAATTATGGGAAGCCAGTAGGGCTGCCACTAACGACTAATTTTCTATGGATTAATCTGTCGACTATTTTACCGATTGGTCGATAAATCTAAACAATTAATTTTCCACCAGAAAATACCATGAAATAGATAGTTTATTTTAATTTAAGTTATATTAAGTTTTTTTTTTATTTTAGTTAATTTTATTCTGACAACAACAAATTGTATGTTTCTGCAGCATTTTAGATAATGGATGTCAGCTTTTCGGCACTATACAGACATTATTTTCCCTCACAATTCAATAAGCAGCTTAGTAGTATGTCTAAAATATTAATGAGATGTGTATTGTGATGCCCAAAAGTTAGTTATCTGCATAAATTTGGCGTATCCTTATGCTTATTAAATTCGGTTAGCGGAGCATGCCAGATGCGACTGTTTTGGTAAATCATGGAAGCAATAAGCACTGAAGTCAAGAAAGGGACAGCTCAGTAACCACTGCATCTTTTAAAAGCGGAGATATTGTGGATAAACAAGGGGAAAAAAAGATGTCTGTGGTGTGGTGCTGCTTTTTGCCGATTAAAGTCCAACACTTTTTTTTTTTCTAAATATAGTTTTCATTTTTTAATTTCAGTTCACAAATGATTTTCTTTTATTTATTGTCCGTTTTCATTTCAGTTTTAGTTGACAATAGTAGCACTGGTCTCAACAAGCCCAATGTGCACGAACACACAATGACACCGTCAATCCATGTACAATAAGGCCAGATTTTAGCCTAAACATTTTCTCAAACACTTATTGAATGGAGACTCTATGGTAGCAGGCAACGTTATTTCTTTATGCCTTTAATAATGACTGTATTTAGCAGCTGCAAGGACAAAAGATATTAAAAAGCTGTCCATACTAATCGTATTTTAATATACATGAATAGACAATATTTACCGTGGTTTTGTTTACTCTGGCGGTCCAGAATAGCGCCTGTGTTTTCTCTTCCAGTGCTCTTGCATAGCGCTAGTGCCCCTGTATGCCATTGAACTTTGCACAGTGTAACACCACCTTTTTGTTTTGTGATAATTTGAACTAGAGTTTATGTAGTGATATTAAATGAAAACATTTGTTACAATGAATTGAAGCATTTTCTAAACCATAATGGTAATTTCATTTAAATAAAAAAATGACAGCGATTTTAAAATATTGATGTCGATGCATTTTTAGCGTAGGTGTCATTGACTACGTCGACCAATCGCGGCAGCCCTAGAAGCCAGGCTATAGTTGTCCATCTTGGGAAAGGGTTTTGGCAAGCTGGAGTGTTCCCGCATCCCTTCCCCGGGGCTCAGATGTTTACACACGTGAAGAGTGTTGTCATCCAGAAGATGTCCATAGAAGCTGAGGGTCCATGTGTCTGTCAGTTTTTTCGGAAGTTTGATTTTTATTGTATTGATAATTAATTTGTATCATGAGATTGTGTTGTAAACAAAGCACAGCTTATTTTCATGTAATTTCTTATACATATCCGTAGATTTAATATCATATATTCTCGCTCTCCCTATCCCCTACTAGTATGCAGTGAACTCATTGATTGGTACGGTTTAAGTTGCGTACCCTCTGAAATAGAGCACAGGCTGCTGTGCTGCCCGACCCATTGTTTTTATCTGAGATGCAGATTTCAGTTCCAAAGAGTACAAATTCAGACCAAGATTTTGTTTCAACTAACCAGTTGAGTATAATCTTGGTCTGTATTTGTACTTTATGGACCTGAAATCGGTATCGGCTGATACAGCAACAATCAGCCATTGGCCGATGGTTAAAAATGAGCTGATATTTACCACCAATAATTCTCTTTTTCTCTTTAAAATGATCACCTATATTACTTTGCACACCTACACACTAAACAGATGTCTCCTGTGTGGAATTATTTTAATGTTAGCGAAAACAATGTTAGAAATGCATTTTGCATTTTCACGAGAAGGATCTACTAAAAAACATTTCAACACAACAGTCTTGATTGCTCACCTTAAGGCAAGACAGTGAAGAGTATGAAACGTTTCTGAAAAACAAATCCATTTCAGTAAGGAAGGCTGCAGTAACACTATTCCAGCAGTAATGCAAGTTTGATAGCAAAAGAAAATTCAGTGCTGACAGTTTGAAATCAAAACATAAAAATATGTTAAATATGTATTTAAAAACGTCAGATTTTTAAATTCCTTACATGCTTTCTCATTTAGGCTTGGCTGTATATTAGTCTATAGAGTCTATGTGCACCCCCTCAAACAAAAGGGAATGCGTGACACCCGTGATGTCTTCACTTGTCTTTTAGAAATGAAACTATAAAACTTATAATATATATGTTCAAAGATTTTCAAGTTATAAAATGAACAGATAATTGTATGTCATTGTACTCTTGTTTTAGGGATAGATTGGATTTGTAGTAGAAAATGTGTATATTTTGCTGTTTTCTTCCCACTCACTTTCATGCAGAATAATAGCTTCTTTCTTGGCACTGAATTAATGGAGAAAAGGAATCTCACTGTCTCCCCTTCCAGGTCAAATGGACAACAGGAGCAAACTGCGCAACCTAGTGGACCTGCGTCTGGCAGGCCTGGACATCACGGATGCCTCGCTCCGCCTTATCATCCGCCACATGCCCCTGTTGGCCCGGCTGGACCTCAGCTACTGCAACCACATCACAGACCAGTCGGTCAACATCCTGACAGCTGCAGGCACAACGACTCGCGATTCTCTGACGGAAATCAACCTGTCAGGTAGGAGGCTGTCAGAGAGGCTTCCATGGTCAGCGTTCTGCGCTGTATGGGGTACCTGAAGAGCTCCTCACATAGTACATGTCTGTAATACGTTTGTTCCCAACTCAAAAACACCATCCTGCAGTATAGTGTTTGTGAGCAGTAATTGGATCTTTTTATTTGGTATTCATCATTATCAAAATAAGCTTTTTTAATGTCACAAAACACTCCACTTGTCTGTCAACATGACTCAGCCCTGTTACCTACCAAACATCAGTCAGATACTAGTTGATAGCTCAATGTTATTTTTCCCCTTGCAGTCATCACTTTGTTAAAGAGGGTCTATGTGACCGTCTGTACGGTTTGAACATGATTGTCTGCTGTTTTACACCCTGATGTATACGTAGACTGCCATGAAAGCAGCTGGTGTGCCTTACTCTCCCTCTGTGATGCACACAGACATGTCCATAACTCTGGGCCCTCCCTTCTTCCGTAGTGTGCAACAGGGTCACGGACCAGTCTCTGGCCTACTTCAAACGTTGTGGGAGCATCTGCCACATCGACCTGCGCTTCTGCAAGCAGGTGACCAGGGAGGGCTGTGAGAGGTTCATAGCAGAAATGAGCGTCAGCGTGCAGTTCGGACTTGTAGAGGAGAAACTCCTGCAGAAGATCAGCTAGTTCATGCTGGGGCCTTTAGAGACTAAATGTACAGAGGAAACTCAGCGCAACCAGCAGTGTGTTGTTTCCAAAATGAGGTTTGTTTGTTTGTTTTTTTTTCCATTTATTTATTGATGTTTTTTTTACGTGGGGAATATTTTTGTTTTTTGGTCACAGAAAATGAACAATCATTAAAAAGACATTTAAAAAGATGAACATTAAGTTTAAATTGTGTAGGAAAAAGTGAGCGAAATGCAAGCATTTTGTTTTCAATGCTGAAGTCTCCCCCTCGATTCTCAAGGAATTCGCGTGTGATCGTTTGTGCTGCTAAAGCTGGTGAGTTTGTCCACGATGTAATATTAACTGTGTACAGAAGACCGAACTGGACAGTATCTGAAAAAATAGCATGTTTTTATGTTTCCTTTTAAAATTTCCATTTGTTACAATTGTATCAACATTATCTTGTTTAAAACAGCCGCAATGTTTCAGAAACAGAAATGACCAGAGTTGGTCTGTTTATTGTAATTTTTTTTTTAAAACTTTGTTTACCAAGTTTTTTTTGTTACAATGCAAACCTCATGCATTATTCAGAAATATTTTTGTATTAAAGTGTTTCAAGCTCCAGCGTATGCAGTATTGAATGCACTGTCGTCTTGTTTAATTGACAATATTCAATCTGCATAGTTGTTTTCCTTGGGCTGACTTTAAATTGTACTTAAGAGTGATGCCTGTAGTAGCTGGTCCCCATGGAGGTGTTACGTATTAATTTATGCCGTGTTGTTTTATCTGACGTGGGTGTTCCGATTTACCAGTACAGAGGTACTTCACCTTTTTCAAATTACTATGTATTACTCAGTCTATTTCAATGTGTTTATACCTGGGGAATCTGGGGGGTGGGGGGAAGACTATTTGCACTGTTTGACATGAATAAATATAACTATTTTTTTCCAAGGTTTATCAGATATTTATATGGGGAGGTTTGCTGGGTTGTTCTTGTTTAGGGGCCTTGGTCATTCAGAAATGTTGGCATAATACACAGCAGCTTAGTCTAGAACGGCTAAGTTGTTTTAAAAACTTTTTTAATATAAATTTTATTTGTGCCCCAGTATTGTCTTGCATGCTTTTTTGCAAGAGTTCATGGCATCCCTTAAAGAATGCTAAGCGTAAGTGTCATGCAGTGTAAGGTGTTGATGTTGGAATATGTTACACAGAGTATATCTTAAAATGTTAATGTTTTTTTTTCCGCAGGGGGCGGGGGGGGCTAGGGTGCTGTATGTCCGTGGGCAGTCATATGGTGATGACACCTATGTATGTTAGCTCTGCATAATATCAATACCCTGGAAAAAGTTCATATTTCACAAATTTCAGTCTGTGAAGTATCTCTCCAGTGAAATACCTGAATAAGACAATCTAAAGATAATTAGGCAATAAAGAATTCGGAACCACCTGGAGCATCCATAATAGTAAAAACAGGAAGAGCTACATCTGTCTTCAAAGCTTAAGGTGACCTAATTATGTATGTTTTTTTCCAAATCTGTCTTTCTCTTTGTGAGCAATCGTCTGGGAAAAACTAACGTCTGAGTCCTTAATCTGAGCAGAATTCTATGCAGTATGTCAACTTTAAACAAGCTCTACTTTGTTTAAAAAGTTATATATACATACATCCTTTATTTTAAGCAAAGGCTCAATAAGTCATGTTGTGTCAAAGTAATTGATGTTAAAATACATTAGTCATATTTAAATACAAAGTATTTTTTTTTTTTTTAAGTCAAGGCTTTAACAAAATACTGTGTACATGTGTTGCCATCAATGTTGTTACATGTGGTACGGGTACATGGAAAAAGAAGTGGGAGCCACACAGGGCCTGTCTGAACCCCGTCCAGCCCACTTTCCCCAAGTGACTACACTTCTCAGAACAAGGTGTCCCCGGAGTTTGACCCGAATCAGGGGACTGTATGGCAGATGACAAGCCTAGTGGCACAGGTGTACAATGAAGGATCTTTGTGCAAGTGCTTATTTTGGACAGTATTACCCACCCCCATGGCAGGGTTGACGGACCAGCACACGGACGTCTGTCACTTCCCCCTGGAGTCGACTTCCACCGCTCACCCCCCCCAGCCAAAGCTGGCCACATGAAGCGGGGCAAAACTCCAGTCTTTAGCCTCTTTGCGAGGTTGGTGCTCTTCACCCACAGCAGGAATTTAAGCCCCCTTCAGAGTCAAGCAGGTGCTGGGCAGCATGGGACACGCTTAGGCAACCTGAGAGAACTCTGGATCTCTCTGGATCACATCCCCAGGTCATCAGCTGGGCAGAACCTCTCTTGCGCTTCGATACCTAAAGTACTGAACAAGACCACTCCCACTTAGTAATCATCTGGGTCTGTTTTGTATGATATTGAGGCAGGAAATTCTTCATTTTTTTTAAAACTGAGTGTAAAGTGCAGCAGTTTTGTCACACTGTCTGAATGCCGGCCAACTGAACACCAAACGGTGTCATGGTCAAACAGCAGCAACGGGAAGCCAGAGGGGCATCTGCCAATGAACAGAGCGCAAGGCTGACTTACCGTCCACGTGCAACAACAAATCAGACTACAAGACACCTGTTCTGCTGTGCCACCATAGAGTGGTGCTCTCTTTGTAAGTTATGGTGATTTTTTTTTATTATTTGTGTGTGAATGAGGACAACATACTGTAATTTAGTGAAGTTACTGTATATTTATTAAAGTCTTTTTTTATTTTTAAAATTACCAAAATAAAAAGGTCAACATTCCAAAATACAAAGACCAGATCTTCACGCCACTGTTTGCTCAAAGTACACCCTTCAGTGGGATTGGTGGGGAGGCGGGCCGGTCCTGAGCCCTGACACGCGCTCTGTGACTAGTTGCCTGTGAGTGACATCTTTGAGAAGATAGCAGCATCAGTTGTCTAGTATTCTATATACAGACATAAGTACACAGTGCTTTCTATAGTTCTCCATGTGTAACTGTTGGATGTTCGTTTCAAATTAAGGGGTAAAAAAGAAGGAAACTGTGACAATCTAAACTTCGGTTAAGACAAGCAGTGTGAACTTTTGAAGACTGATGAAAGCTCTGATGTCTAGTGAGAGACACCAGATCAAATCCACAATATTCTCCAACCACTGAGCAGTATAGTTTAACTCAATGGCAGGCTAATCAGAATAACACTCAAAATAGGTTCTGGACATTCTTATTAAATGGGAAAAAATATACATAGTGTACATCTCTAATGATACGCATCATGATATGCAATTTTACAGCAATATACTTTATATAATTATGCAAATTCTATGCATGATCAAACTTAGAGCTCTGATTAGTTCATCAAAGATTTAAAAGAAAACTAAACATATCTACTGCAAATATAATACATCTGAAGGTTCTCTCGACTCCAAAAATAAACTCTATTTTTTACATGCTTGAACAAAACACTTGAGAACTCTGGGAATTGAACAATTTCAAAGGAAAAGCCATATAAACATTTCCGCTAATATCAAAACAAATGCACAGTCACAAAATACCTTGCACCAGGAGGCAGAAAAATCTATATTTAGCACCTGTTCTCTCTCTTCCATACTTCCTTTAAACAAACAATGAGGCTGGTGGAAAAGCACAAGAGAACTATGCTATTGCTACAACTGAATAACAGTACGGCATGGCTGTCACTATCACTTTCTGCCTGGCATCTAATATATTTGCTGAGGAATATTCAGCTTTCGAAGCCCACATGTGGGTGGAATTGTTGTGCTGTCAATCAATCACAGGTCGATCCTGCTTCCCATTGGCTTAAACCAGGTACTGACTGACAGAGCAAAATAATCCCACTCACCATAGCTTCTGAAATCTCATTTCTCCTACTATTGCCCAACAGGGTAGACTGGACCTTATTTGAGTCCCAGGACACAAAGTTCCCCATTTAATTGCTATTGACCACTTCACCAGGGTGAGAAGCTTTGTTCTAAACACAAAAAAATACATCCAAGTTGAGGGTGGAACCTGAATCACTGGGGTTTTCCCCAACATCAAGATGAAGCCCCTCTTTCGCTTCTCTCACCGCGAGTAACTGATCAGCCAGTCCACCCACCATGAGAGCACTACACTCTCATAACCAGCCCGTCTAACATGTTGGGACAACAGTGCAGTGGAACCATGACCCAACTGTTCACGCATGTTGGTCATATTTGGTTTAGATTCCTCTTTCGGGCCTCTGCTCCTCAACAGGAGAGCGTTAGACCTGTACAGTGTATCATTCCAGAAAGGCGCACGCTTACACGCCTGGCATACATGCACACACATCCGTAGTTTGGCACAGAGGTCACACCCCAGCCTCTGAACAGTAGCTGGTCTTCGGTCACTAAGTGCAGCAGCTCATGTGATGAGATACTGAAGGACAGATCTACATGTACATTTAAATATCTTTACATTCTGATGTAAAAACGCTGAGCTCAGAAGTGCAGCGCGGTGCCATCTCTTTAAATAAAAATACATAAATAAAAAAATAAATCACGCCCACATTTATGAACACTGAGACTAAACCAAGACTAAAAGTCATGGCAGACTCTCCCACAATGGGCTCGAGGCATGAGATCCCACATCAGCTCCTGCCCGTTACGGGAGTTGTGACCTACTCCATTACCGCTCCTGTTTTCCACACCTGGGTCTGGAGCAAGAATTGAGAAATTTAAAGCAGACCGAGTCACACCGCTGCTGTTGGAGAAGGAGGAAGAGGAAGCTGGATTTAAAAAAAAAAACAGGGAGATGGGGCCTGTTTGCCAACATGGAGCCACGACTGTCCACAGTAAACAGAAGTGAAAGCTATCAGGAGGCTGGCAAGATGCCAGCAAGGGGGAGTGGGGGTGCAGCTAGGCCTTGAAGACATGTACAGCACGCACCACGTACTGCCTGCAGATGGGGCACTCGCTCATACGCTTGCCGCATTTGGTGCAGGTGACCATGTGACCACACTCCAGCAGCACGCAGTCGATCACAGCGTCCATGCAGATGCGGCACAGGCTGTCATCCTGGCTGGCCAGCTGTGGTCTGGTCCCACCTGGAGAAGAGGCACCAACGGTGTTAGACTAGCAGTCATATACCCAGCATCGCAGGTCACGTGATCAAGACAAATGTGACCCTGACAAATGTGAGATGAAGAATATCGATCTACAGCCTTGTTCTTAGACGCTATTGTGATGACTGGTGTAACTACCAACATCACAGACAGCTGCCAAAACAGGAGGTGGTTTAGGGCAACCAGAAGTGGTTTTAGCGAAAAGATAAGTGCCATGAATTACATGCAAGATCCCTCCTACCACTTCTACAACCAAAACTCATTTAAAATTGGATCCTTGGGCGATAAAAAGTCATCTGTGTTTATTACGGTCCACAAACACCATGTTGGAGACTAAGCAGTAGTTTGAGGGTGCTTCAAAAAGCCAATTACAAACTGCAGAGCTTGCAAGTCACACGCAGTGCCTTGCAGTCTATCCGACTCGGCTCTTAGCCGGCGTGCAGGCCGGGAGAGCGCTTCTCAAGGGTACTTCTGCTCAGAGAGTCTCCTTGGACCGTACTTAAAAAACGGAGGCATTCAGACGGCCAATGCACCAAAGCCGCAATCATTTAAACGGCCAATGAAACGGCAAGGCTAGGAGGATCATGCCGGGCTCCAATCACGGAGCTCAACACAAGTGAACAGGCGTGCCAGGCACAGCACGAGTAACAGCTAAATAAATACACTGTCAATTGGGCATGAGTGGGAGGGAGAGCAGAGTCGGGGGGGGGAGGGGAATAAGGCTGCAATTCTCAGCGTGAATCTCCATGACTCATCGTGTGCCTTGTACGCCAATACACATGGCGACGAGGAATGATGTCATAGCGAGAGTATGCACCATTAACAGCATTGCATACCTCAAGCTGTACGTCTTAAGCACATATTGACACAATGTTAGCATCCACAGATTATTGTAGCATGGATGTCTGCGGCCTTGCAGACACCTGCCAACGTTTCCTCACGTACCATAATGCACGTATTACTCATGCACATTTACTGACAGGCATGCAGAAAATAATGACAACATCTGGACAAGTTTCGACAAGACGACGGTAAATGCTGCAGCGCATGCGATGGCTTCCCAGGGGCTTACCTACGATTCCAGTAGTGCAGAGAGAGGAGGGATATGCTACCACTGTTTGGGAGAAGGAGTGAAGTCATCGTGTGAGTCACCCCACCTTTAACTGCTCTTAAAATCCCACCAGTACCAAAGACAAACTTGCTGGCATTTTTTGAGGTGCAATGTTTTAAAATCTCTACAACAAAGGTCTTTTCAGATGTTGATGTGGCTTTTAAGAATAATCGCCAGTAGCCTGGACATGGCTTACCTGCACTCATGCCATCACTGACATTCTCCACTGGGGGGGGAAGGATAATAGAGGTTTGGTTAGTGATGATCTATGCTCTTGATAAAGCTTTAATTAGGAACATCTACATACTCTACTTTAGGAATCCCAGCAGAAGGTGGAAATTAGTAATAATCCGTGCACTGTGAAAATGGGTCACATTATGCCAGATAGCAACAGAAGCAATCTCTGTAGTTAAGAATGGGGGGAACAGGATGTTCAGGGTGATTAATGCATGATGAATAAAGTACGATTAATGATGCCTGATAATTGGAGCTAGTTGGACCTAACAGTGAGTGATACTGTCCTATACGGATTATCCCAATGTGGTATAACTCCTCCCATTGATATAGCACCGGCCAATGAGAGCATGCAATTTGGTGGGTGGGCGGGGCCTCTCACTGGACTTCCTGTTGTGCTCAACCTCGCGGTACAGCCGGCCCACGCGCTCCACCAGCTCCCACTTCTCGCAGCAGCCAGAGTAGCTGACGAAGTTGCAGGCCAGGATCTCTTTGAGCTGCCGGACCGTCAGGCCCTCAATGTCCTGCTCACCGGAGAGGTCCGAAAGAGAAGCATGTGGCCGCTTGCGGCCCAGGGGGCTAGCCTGTTGGGGCTGGGGCGGGGTCAAGGAGGGGGGAGGCAGAGTCATGTGATCATGGTCTAAAAAAAAATGTATAGCTCACACTACAATCACACTACACTACAATCACACTACAATCAACTCCATAAATAAATACTCCCCTCACAGAAGTGAACAAAAACATTAATATAATATAGATAATACATACAATCATTCTAATGTTCCTGAAATGTTAGGAGAAATTGTTGACTAATTAAAACAATTCTTGCAAAAGTGTTGTATATCTTTAGAATAGTTTCTTGTCAAAAACGTTTGTGGCAAAATTATTGGCACCCTTGAAAAATACTATAAATATCACCAAATTTGTATCTGTGGGGAAAGAAATGTTTCTTGATGTTGCTTTTCGTGTCTAGGAGCTTTTGGTGTCTAGGAACTGTTTTCTTTGGCCATTTCCTGTTTCACTGGGGTATAAATATGAGGTAACACACAGGTAAAATCCTTTTGTCATCCATCAACATGGGTAAAATGAGAAAAAAAAGTTGTTGAGCTACATAGATTGGGGAATGGCTACAAAAAAATAGGCATTACCAGTAAGCACAATCAGGGCCATAATAAAGATGTGAAAAGCATGGTCCTGTTGAAAATATGCCAGGAAGGGGATGCATCTGCATATTGCTCCCATGAACAGTGAGGATGCAGAGTTTTCATGAATCTTAGGGATTCACTGGCAACCGTGAGATGACACCTCCGTGACCAGAAGCTGTATTGATGAGTGGCACGAAAGAAGCCTCTTTTGAGTCCAAACGACAGCATCGAAACTTTGCCAAGAAACATTGGAGACAACTGTAATCATGTGTTGTGTTCCGATGAGACAAAAATTCAGGATTTTGGCTGCACACACCATCGCCATGTCTGGTGGAAAGAGGACTGCATACAAAGCAGGGCACCTCATACCCAAGGTTAAATATGGTGGTAGTTCTTTGATGCTTTGGGGCTGTTTTGCTGCCAGTTGTCCACGGGCTCTTGTTAAGGTCAGTGGCATAATGAATTCCAGTAAATACCAGACCGTTTTAGCCGAAAATCTGGTTGAGGAGGCTGAAACTGCTCCGTGGTTGGGTCTTCCAACAAGACGACGATCCAAAACACATGTGAAAGTCACCAAATAATTGGTTGCAGAGACACAGGCTCAAAAAAACAAGAGAGAACCCAAGAATCTCCATGAGTTGGAAATGTTTTGCATGGAAGAATGGTCCAAGATCCCTCCAAAAGTGTGTATTCTCCAGCCTTGTTAAACACCACAGAAAGAGGCTGTGTCTTGATGTTCTCACCAGGGGAGGCTCCACTAAATACTGACATCTGCGGGTCCAATATTTTTAGAATCTGCCTTTTGGAAAATTGTATGACTAAAGCAAAACTTTGTTACAAAAGTCTTATGGCAATAAAAGCATGAGGCTTTCGCAATTGTTTAAGCACAAAATATCATTCATTGCATGTGTGGTCCCTTTTATATAGTAATTTTTGTAATTAAATATATATTTGAGAAGGGCTGTTGTGTGTGCAGGTTTTTGCTGAAAATCCCTCATTAGATTATCAATTAGAGGACTGATTTGGCTGATGAGTTCTCACACCTGAGTTTGAACAGCTATCCTAAACGTTATCCCAAAATCCCACATATGCACTTGCCCTTTCTGGATAAGATTGGCCACCCCTGGTATATACAGTGTCAAATGATGTAAAAGCAACCATTTATTCAATACAGGGTTACGAGACAACTGGAGCGCCCAGAGGAACCTGGTACAACACAGGGAGGAGACCCCACACACAGAGCACAGGTGTGATCAGAAGCCACAGCCCTAGATGTGTGAGGACACAGTGCTACCCAATATGCACCTGGTTACCCCACGTGAGAAACATAATATGCAGGATATGAGAAGCAGAAAGAATATTTAATTGTTTAATTATAACCCTTGACATAATCCCTAAATAAAATTTTCATCCACTTACCTGTCTCTCCCTGCCACCTGGTCCCACGTTGATGAGGGAGAGCGAGGTACTGTTACCCTGCATGGGGGCAGAACACAAAGCAAAAGAATCGGGTCGTTACAGTCAGCCCTCGTCCGGAGAGCCGGGCTGCTCACACAGCACACGTTCATTAACGACAGAAGGGAAGCAAAAGGCCACCCCACATTAAACTCCCATGGTGTGGATGTTAGTCAGCCTGCTCTGTCATCCATGTGGGGGGGGGCTCTGCCCACCGCAGCCCGGTCGCATACTCTGCATTCACAGCGACGCGCTTGCTAAGCTACTCCCCCGGGCCCAGCTGGATGTGGACGGTAAGCCCGGGGCGTATGAGGGGCGCCAGCCCCCTAATCGGGTGGACAATGCTCGCCTAGGGCACCAAGCCTTATGCCACCATCATCCGCTCACTCTACCCGTGAGCAGGAGCCCGTACATCCATTTTTCCCCCCATTTCACTGTCCTCATGGTATCAAATTGTTTAAGCTGAATTCTAGCAGGACATTTTTACCACTTGTCTAAAGAGCCCATTTTGCTCCAAGTAAACAACATATAATTTGATTATGATTAGAGACAGATAGACAGAAGCCCTTCACTCTCAAGCACAATGCAAGCAAACAGCTAACAATCGCCTGATATGCCACAAGCTTTCGAAGGCTGCTTCTGTCCTGGATCCCTGCAGACTGCAGTGTTAGAACATATTATACACACACACACACACACACACACACACACACACACACACACACACACACATTCTATGGGAAAAATCCCAATTCCAAAAAATGACAGCCCTAACCCCCACCCAGCCCTAACCTTAACCATAAGTAACCAAACAAAAAGAAAAGTAAAAATGTCCAAAAACTTTGACTGCATTCACAGATTTTTATAAAATTGAGTTTCCCCTTATGGGGACCGAAAATGTCCCTACAAAGTCACAATAGCAGGTTCTTATGACATCTGGGGACATCTGGTCTCCAGAATGCAATATATCCTCATACCTATCCCCCCCACCCCAACCCCCCACACACAGACACTGCCTAGCAGCTTCTAATGAGTCAGTCCCCATCACCCTAATGACAACCCAGAACCAGAACAAGTGAGCAATACCAGGGGCCCTGATGGAGCGACACTCCCAGCATGCACTGCTGAGAATAACAGAGGGGCTCTCAGCAGTTTTCATCCAGCTGCCAATCAAACCGGCATATCGCGCCGTCAGTCTTGAGCCCCCTCTTTGTAACAACAAAAGGGGATTTAAATACATCTGGAGGCAGAACATTCTTCTCTCTGTATGGCAGCAGAGCTCTTTCTTCAGGGAATTAGACAGGGAACCATAAGGGGGAAGCTGAAGGCTTCCGTCATCAGAAGCTGGGGTCCTGAAGCTCCACCCACTGCTCGTTGTAGAGTACCCCACATTCTCCTGCTAACAGTAAACTACAGTGCACACCTGTAAGCTCCTTGTCCTACACATCAAAGCACAATGGTCCAATCAGGATTTGTTGCGTGGAAGGTCAAAGGTCACCCCTTAATCCCACCCACTTGGCTGTCTCACCTCTGACGGCTGTCCCCGTGGTGAAGTGAGTGTACTGTTCTGAGATGGAACCCCACCTTACCTGCTGATTGGTCCCTGAGCTGTCATTCCCGCTGAGTGGGTCTCCCTGAGGGGCGGAGCTCGCCGATGTTTCAAAGGTGCGTGGAGACGGGACATGGAAGGCTTGTAAGTGTGAGCTGCTGGTGTTGGCATCATCATCATCATCATCATCATCATCATCATCATCTTCTTCATCCTCATCATCATCCTCATCCTCATCCTCATCCTCTTCCTCATCCTCATCCTCTTCCTCATCCTCCTCACCACACAGTGCCCTCTGGTGGCAGAGCACCAGGTCGACCAGGTCCTCCTTCTCACGGCAGGTGTCGGTGGGGACCTCATGCAGCAGCAGGTACTGCCGCAGGTCCTTGACACGCAGCTGCATGAGCTGCGGCCGCTGGAAGGCAGTGCCACGCAGCAAGTGGCAGGTGGCACACCTGCGCAGGTTCTCCTGCAGTGCAGAGCACAGGGAACAGAAGCTCTTCTTGCAGCCACTGCAGATGTGCTAGAAAGAGAGTAAGAGGAACAGAAGGAAACCGAGAATTTAAAAAGCCACCTTGTTGCTTTCAATTACTGTTTTTCCTTAAGAGACATGCTTGTGTGTCGGCTGCATCTTCAGCCAGAAGACAAGGCTCAGGGTTGCCAAGTGCCCCCCCCATCATAAACCATCCACTTCCCATAATCTTAATCCCACTAAAAGGTCTTGTTAAATCATTGTCAGCCAACAGCAACTATGGTTGCAAAGGGCCGTATTCCCTCCATGGGAAGTTCAGCTGGGTAATTTTGGAAATATTACAAGTTGGAAACTTTCCCGGGGAATTAATAGGAATATAGGGGAATTAATGTGAAAATTCCCAGAATTTTGCAACCCTAACAGCAACTCAGCCTTCTGCTGCTCTGAGGCACCGACTTGGGAGGTGAGGCTCTTGGTTCCACACTGTGGGCCAGCCCAGGGTTTAAAGCACTCCAGTGAACCACAACCGTGGTACATGCTCCAAAACCCTAACGAGGGGCTGACCAATCCCCTCTCATCACCAGTGGTAGACAGGTGCCTTCGAAGCCCACTATTGGTATGACTGCTCTGTCAATCAAGTGAAAGGGAGCCAATAAGGTGACCAGTGGGAAGTGCCTGACAGCACATGACCATCCCACTCAGTGCAGACTCTCATTCATCTCATCACTGCTGCTCCCCAGTGACTTCCGTCGGGGGGAAGCCAGCAGGCCACATGGATCAAGCAAGGTGAGCTTTTCCGACCGGGCAGCTGCTACAGTGGCAGTTGTTGTTTACGTCTGTACATTAATTCACGTACGGGGCTCGCGCTCACACATCTCCCCGGACGACATTAAGACCATTAGTGCAAATGAGTGATATTCTAGCTTCACAACGCCTGCCAGGAAGCTCAGCGCTCGGCTGCCATCACAGTTCGGATAATAAGCTAATAAAGGAAGACGTGTTTGTTTTGGTTCCCGAGCCAAAACGGTGCCACATCTCGGCCCGACAGCCGACGGGTAGCTCCGCAGAGCATCACCCCCTCCCCCCCCCCGGGTGGCACGGTGAATGCGGTTTTTAAATCAAGTGCTTTAAAACACAGCACCTGGAACCCCCCCAAACCGCCAGTCATGTGACAGCCTCCCCGCTAATCAAGATCATAGTGCTGGCTGAGAGCTGAAGGTCAGACATGACCCCCACCCCCGACTCCCACGCCAAATGAGTCCTCTCCCAGCAGCAGGAAGGGTTCCGTGCCACCTCTGCTGTCTAGCCAATCAGGATACAGAAGAGATGCTGGGGTACAGTTCCAGAATGGATTCATTTCCATTCCATGATGCAACATTCAGGAATGGAATCATTCTTGCCTTTTTGAATTATGTTGTAATTAGCATGAAAGTAATCTCTGATAATAGTGCACCTTCTCCATCATACTGCTTTCTAGCTCCAGCCTCTTTACAAATATCCCTTGGGGCAACCATTTCACCATAACTTTTCACAGGAAATTTAGTGCAAATAAACAATGCCATCCAATCAAAAAAGATCAGAGCCATCAGGCAAGGCGACAGACCGTCACCGCTCACCTTCCTCCTGAAGACAGAGAATTCCAGGCCACAGGCCATGCAGGTGGGTCCCAGTGGTCCTGAGGCAGCGGGCGGGTAGTTGGAGTATGCAGCACTGGGGGCGAAGCGGAAGGGTCCCGCCCCAGCCCCGAAGCCTGGCTGCTGGCCATGGACCGCCCCGGCACCCATCACCTCGTTCAGCAGGCCACAGCATGACGCCCACACAGAGGAGGCCCCGGCCTGCATGGGGGGGGGGGGGGCACAGCTTTACACCATCATCTGATTTGACATCACCAATATCACGAAAGTGTGGCTATGTCTCGCCTTCTCGTTTGTTATTTTCACTCCCCGTTCATTAGATTACATTCCCCAGCTTGACGATAGACTTGAAAGCCAATTTTTGGTCTTGTAACTACTAAAGAGTAACTTACATTTTTATCTGAGACTGGTGCCTGGCCCGGCAGAGGCTGTGGTAGATTTATCTTATCGCATAATGACATTTCCTTGTGAAGGCTTGTCGGGGACATGCCCCCGTTTCCAAGCAGAGGCGGGAATCACGGACTTTTCTCGTTGCCCTCCTGCTCTCTTCCACCCACACTAATCCCCCCCCCCACACCCAGTGCGTTGTAGAGATGAGCACTGAGGCTGTGCCGCTCCCTATCCACCCGCGTCAGGCATTTGACAAATGTATCATGTGGCATCATTCTTTAAAAGGGTTTTTTTAGTACAGTAGTCATTAAACTTTTAGTAGTCGTCCCGAAGTGAATAACTCAGGCACCTTTTCAGGAGTAACACTGAAGACCTCTGATCAGCTGAGGTTCCTCCTGAGAGACCAGCGCCGAGGGCATTATAAACAGGTGGCCAGACACAAGACCGCAAACACAATTTAATGCTGATTTTCATCCAGGCAATGAGTTTACAACTCATTCAAAAAGGTTAATAATGGACAATATTCCAGACAGTGGGGGGAAATAAAGCACAACGCAGCTGCTTTTTGTGCTGTACTGTAATTACTTGTTCCTGTTGATGAATAAATTCTTTCGGTAATTAGGGCTGATTGAATTCACAGGCGGGAAGACTGAGCACGCGGCGCGATTTCCGTGACTCTGGGACAAAACCAGTCGCATGTCAGACGGGGTAAAATCCAGAAGAACCCAAACAGTCAGTCAGTCAGTCAGCCGCACACTTAACCACCCCTGAGAGTTTTCTGGAAAGGAGACAAGCAGCGGATGCGTCTGAGCAGCCACAGGACACTCGAGAGCGAGGCGGGGTTGTGTGTTCCTCCTCCTCCTCCTCCTCCTCCTCCTCCTCATCTCTTGCCCGCCGTGGCGTGTCTAGCGGCTGGCCGCTTCACTGGCGACGCCTTGTCACCCAACCCCCCCCCCCCCCCCCAACGTAAACGGCAGCCCCAGAAGGCAGACAGTGAAAAGCTGAGATCACACAGAGCCAACTGTGCAATTCCAGAGGCAAACACAATGTTAAACATCTAATTAGCAATTGTTCATGAGGATGATCCACTGGTCCCTCTCAAACAAAGTTTAAAAAAAATAAATAAGTAAAATAAATAAAATAGCAACCTGTTGATGGAGGGCAGTGTTTTTAATTTACATTATATATATCAACAGGTTGCATTTATTTATTTATTTATTTATTAATTATCGCAGAGTCAGGTCAGCCAGCCTCTGGAATTGGGTTTAAGGGCCTGATGGTGGGCATCAATCTGCCAGCCACAGGATTTGGACCAGCGGCCTTCCATTCACTAGCACAATATCAACATGTCAAACCCACCCATTCAAAGATGCTAGGATTCTGGTCTTGGCCCATGGGACAGTTCAGGAGCTGACGTTTCTGGACACTTTATAGAGAGCAGTTCCACCTCATGGTACCAAGCAGACAGACCGATCTAATAAAAATGATTAATGAACTGGGTCAAATGATAGACGATCAGCTTCTTATATTATGGCAATTGAATTTAATTCCTGCTCTTCAGCTCCATGTGGGATATTAAAAATCGGTCTGGCATTTTAATTTAGTTTCTAAACCAGTCACCTATCTGATACATTATCCAGCTTCTCAATATAAATCTAATATGACAGAAGTTCTGATACACAAGAGGAGGAAAAACAGGCTGCTGACAGGAAATACAACGGAACATCCATCCATCCATCATTCTTCCAGCCCCTTAGTCTGGTCAGGTTGGTGGTGGGGGTGGGGGGGTCGTGGAGTCTATCACAAGCAATGCAGGGCACAGGGCACAACCCGGACCAGATGAAAGTCACACTATGCGCAATTTAAAGACACAAATCAGTATAAGTGCATGTATTTGGACTAAACCTAAAGTAAGAGGAGTCAGAGAGTATCCAGGGGAAACCCACTCAACACGGACAGAGACAGGATTCGAACCCCCAACCCTGGAGGTGTGTCTGTGCCAGCATGTGACCAGACTTTTCAATCTTTTCAAAGTGGTCCTCTCCTTAAATAACATCCTAGATGGACATATTTAACCACTAAAACTAGAAACAAATCTTTTACTATAAAGAGTAAATTACTTAAATAGTCAAAATAATATATATTTAAAAGGAGCATTATTGATCAAGGATTTTTTGTACCGATGTTAACATATTAGATAATTAATGATCTCGTGTTTCAGCAATATATCCATAAATCGGTTCAAATCGGACAAGTGAGATTTTAAATCTGATTTTACACGGCATGATTCGGCTGAGTTTACATTAAAGGGGAAAGTCATTCAACGACACTCATTAACTTTGCTACGTTTCCCCTACCAACGGCAGATCACATACTGTATATGTTACACTCTCGCCTAGAGGGGAGTTAACTGCTTAAAGTGCATTTCTTCAAAGTGCAGCATCACATATACAATTCACTGTAACACCTATAACACTACCCTAAATGTCTGAGAATGCATCCCCCAGACCGGTTGTCCGCGATGCATGGGATGTGAAATATTGGAGGTGACAGATATCTTGAATGATAATGAAAATTCAAAACACGCTTCTGTATAACAGACATAATAATTCGCCATTGTCACATATGATTGTTCTCACTCTTCCAGATGATGGGCTCAGCGCTGGTCTTCGGCGTTAGTCTGGCTGCTCTGAAATGTAGCTTCAAGGCATTTGGTTCAAATGACGAAGCATGTTATAAAGTTAAACCAATTTCAAATTTAGCCATATGGTTTTCTTGTTCTTGTTGGGCTAATCAATGGCAGCTATGAACTACTATCGCGTAACTCTTATTCATGATGCTGGCACAACGCCAACCGTTTTACTGTTTAATCGAAATCCCGTGTCTCGTGATGCACAAATATATAACAAAATAACTATGAGGTTATCCCTGGCTGAAAAATTTGTACTTTTATTTTTATAAGGCCAATAAATACTAAAACTTTGAATCAAATCATATGCTAAAAGTTAGGAATGTCATCAAACCTGGACTAACAAGAACTATTAATTTTAATGATCATGAATACTGTTTAAGAGAAATAACAGTGCACAATTAAACATTATAAACACAAAAGATGTAATGCAGAAAAGATATTTTCTCTCTGACTAGGGAGATTACGATGACGTTTAGATTTTCTGTGGTATAATATAATGACCAATATTACCACGTTAATTTAGTACAAAAGCAAGTCACCTTGTCTTCAGATTATAATGATCTTTAAAACGTTTCGTCTTATACATCACTGGATCCACCAATGCAAACGCTGTGCGACGCAACAGAACCTTTACTTCATAAATAGGGCACATAAATATTTCAGTCCTTGCAGTATAACTGCCGGTATAAAATAAAACTGAAAAAGCACATTGTCGAGTGAATGGCCAACTAAAAAACTAGATATCCAATTTCATTAAATATTGTCTTAACAACAATAAGCAAGCCAGCAGAAAGGAATGCCTTTCTAGAAGGCTGGAAATATCCCACACGGCAATTTACATTACTAAATAATTAATATAAAACAAAATAAGCATCGCTTAACTCTTGTTAATGCATTTCAGCTGGCAATCCAAGCGAAAGTTGAAATCAAGTGTTAGCATCAGCAGCAAAAAACATTCAATCAAAGTGACAGGGGAATACTATACCTTCATGGCAACTCCCGGTCGCGGAATTCACCAAAATATATGAAGAGGATAACCCATTACACGAACACCACGGTTCACTCCATTACGTCTTCGTTTTCCGTCACTCTCGATGATTTTGTAGAAGGACCGCAGCGTAATTGGCAAGAAGCCCACCAATTAGAGCAAGAACAGAGGCACGGTTATCTTTAGAAGCCAATCACTATCAGAATAGGTAATGAGGGGGCGTTTCTTTTGCCATCGCGGTGCCGTGTGTGGGCTGGTGGGCATGTGTGGAGAGGGTTGTACGCATCTCCGAGTGCACATACGGTGATTCTTGCGCTATATGTGGTTTTATAGCGGGTTACTTCGAGATGTGATTTTTGCACATGTCCACGAGAATTAAACTTGAGCAACTGGTTATTTTGTCACCCCTGGCTGGTTAAATTATGAAGCGTGTCTCAATCTGTGGAAATGTGGCCTGATTCCTACACATCTATAAATTGTATGGCGAAATGCCATACACTGGATTAATAAGTGAATTGTTTGTTGAATAATTCGACGAACCAATTGCATGCCTATGAATGCGCCGTATCAGTGAGCGGATGGCTAAATACCTAGGTGCATGCATCTGAAAGCGGATTGGGAAACAATGACATCATCGGCTCAAGTTTTCAGCTAGTTACAACCTACCCGCAGCTGCAAGCCGAGCTGCGCCGGTGTTCCCTTCTCAATGTGCGGCACTTGTGCAATACACGTGCACGAGCAGCAGTCGTGTGAATTAAAACGACACGTTGAAGGCACTAAATAGGTGATGGTAAGGGTACCTGCAGATGGTGAAAGTACATTGCTTGGAGGAGTTACAGGCGTTTTAACCCGTTTTATGAGTCCCAGTTTGGACTATGGAAAATTGTAAGCTCCACCTACCTTGACCTATTTCTGCAAGGAAAAATGCAGTTAATTCGTCCCGATTTAATTATCTTTAATTAAATTTGCCTAGTGAATGGCAATACCTTCAATATGTTTTGCTCTTGAGTGAAATCTTATCGGAAGCTGAAAGCATGAGCTGAGAACAGTACCTGAGTCTTTGCATGCTAACCACTTAAGCATGCAAAATAAAATCAACAAGTTGTCAGTATACATAAAGAAATTGCGTGTTATATGACTACTATGTTAAATTGATTTATGAATATTCTGTGCAGATGACAGCAAGGTACGTTTTATATGTATTGCGTAGTTTAATTTTCGTCGTGTTTCAAATTCCGTCTCTATCAAACGTGCTTCATGTGCATTTAACATCTATGCTTTGGCGTATTGCAATTTAAAAAAAACGCGATTGACTGGCACGGTGCAAAGCGGGAAAGGTTCTCCACGAACACAACGCATTACCATGGTAACTCGTCTCGGCTCATTCAATGACGTCATCGCATGTAGGGGGACTGATGTACAGAAGAAATGTTCATCTCTGCACACCGAGAAGATGCAGCGTGGAATATATTGCAATAGCGTAAAATGTATCATAGAACATAATAATAGCATTATAAGACCCTTAACTGTCAATTCCATGAAAATGTTATTGATGAAAATCTGCAGTTCTATAACCACAGCTGATACCTGTATGTGACTGAAACAAATTGGTTATCGTTCTTCAGTGCTCCTCTCTGTACTAAGTGTCGATATTCAACTCCTGAGCATGTCAATGCATGAGTTCATGGAATATTCCGATGTGGGGCAACAGTCTATTCCATCAAAAGTCTCTCCCTCAAGCGACACAGCCCACTTATATAACAAGTCCTGAATAAAAGACCTTAATGACACAGACACAAACACTTCTTGCTCACATTCAGTTACCATAGAGAGTTCCCCTGATTCCACCAGCTTGCCAGATTTGGGCTATTGTGTCTGAAAACACAATTTTCCAGGCGGGAAAGATGCTTGGCTTTGCCTTGTGCCTTTGAGGGTCCTGGAGCACTGCACAGTGCGTAACCATGGGTGATTTTGCAGTGTGTGTGGTGCCAGATTTGATAGCTCACCCGAGGCCTGCTGCAGAATGGGGACCCCATTTGCCTCATCCAGCATTGCTGATCTTTAGNCCTGTCAGTGAGGACTTTAATAATAAACCCTCGTGCAAAGTAACTGCAAAGTTGTCGAATCTACGTATATGCAGATGGACTGACCACAGTTAAGACGGACATCACAGTCTTATTAATTCATACTTATTTCCTCGTGTCCGCATTTAGGACCTGGTAGATTGATAAAAACAGTATGGGAATAATCAAGGATGGGGCACCAATCCATCGCAGGGCACACACACCTTTCATGCGTATGGGGAATTTGGCACCTCCAATTAAACTCAGAATGTTTTTGGGCTGTGGGGGGAAACCAGAGAACCTGGAGGAAGCCCCATGACATCACAGGGTGGCACCCGAACCCCAGAGCATTCACCTGAAACATACATGGATGATTGAAGCACAGTCATACCAACCAGCTCTCTTCCTCCCCCCCCCCCCCCCCCCCCCCCCACACACACACACACACACGTACTTGGCACTGAAGATGAAATATTCAGCTCAAAAGCATGTTTACGATCCACCCATATCTTGTCGTGAGAGGACAAACACTAAATGCATGACTACTTCACAATGAAGATGAGCAGCTGCTTATATTGCAAGTGAGGGAGTATCAATGACTTTGGAGAGACTGAACTCAACCTGCCCAACCAGTACATGCAAATGTGAGCAAATTTAACCCAATTAAGTATGGATGGATGAAACTCACTCACTCCACTCACTCCACTACCTTTCCCTGATCACACAACATAACATGGACCTCTGTGTTGTTTTTCCAGCGCCATGCAGCCATGTTGCCTGATCCTAGTCTTCCCCAAGATCCCATGCCTATTTTGTTCCTTGCATTTCCCATGTGTTGAAGCCAAGATGGCTGTCTTGTTTTTGCTCCTCTCACACAGTCCTGATGATGGTTCTGTTCACCATCCTGATAGGAACAGCCAGTTCAGCATACATGTACCAGCTGATAAAACAATGACTTTGATTTTTACCGTCCTTTACTACAGAATTCATTATACAGTAATATACAGTTTACTAGGTTGGGGGACTAGACCTGGAATTACATAGCTGTGGGAATAAGTCATCTGTGATAATAATTCATAACAGTAAGCCTTGCATTTAGTAGGCTCTGGTCATCTAACATTAACCTCTCCCAGCCTCTTGCTCCATTTTGGCTCTACATTGCTACCCGCTGCCAGTTTCAATGAAAAGGTAAAGCCTGGTAATGTGGTGAGACGGTAGGAAAGACAGGTGATGTGGTGAGACAGTGGGAAAGCCAAATAATGCAGTGAGGCTACAGGAAAAGCACGTAATATGGTGAAATAGTAAGAAAGACAGGTGATGTGGTGAGATAGTAGGAAAGCCAGACGAAGTGGTGAGGCAATAAAAAGCAGGTGATGTGGTGGGGCAGTTGGAAAGACAGATGATGTGGTGAGACAGTATGAAAGGCAGGTGATATGGAGAGACAATAGGAAAGACAGGTGATGTGGTGAGACAGTGGGAAAGCCAAATAATGCAGTGAGGCTACAGGAAAAGCACGTAATATGGTGAAATAGTAAGAAAGACAGGTGATGTGGTGAGATAGTAGGAAAGCCAGGTGATATGGAGAGACAATAGGAAAGACAGGTGATGTGGTGAGACAGTAGGAAAGCCAGG